GTCCTACACAGGGATGGGTCTCTCCTCTCTTACACAGAACTTAACCGTCTGCTTAACACAGAGACTTTTACTCTTATATTCCACACAGAAAAACGTCTCTCACAGAGACCTCAGGACAAAACTGCTTAACTAACTTCCACTGTCTGCATCAACAGTCATATCTCCTAACAGACACTCCTGATAGACATTCAAATCATCCACACAGCATCCATTCCAAAACCCCTCCCCCTCTCTGTCACTCACCAATCATATCACTTGCCTGTTTCCAGCACTCTAGAGTATCATCACAGCCATACCAACCAAACTTTTAAAGACACACACACAAATAAACATGAAATCGTTACAGTTGCCATTTCCTTCTCCAGTGGATCACGCTTTGTCTGAGTTCTCTGCTGTGGCCTGTCTGTCCTGGGTGGCCCTCCACGGCATAGCTCACAGCCTCATCGAACCACACAAACCCCCTCACCACGTCAAGGCAATGATCCATGAGGGACAGTGAATATGAGTGACAAAATGCAAAAATCATTAGGATCCGTGAGGATCTGTGCTTCAAAACCATATTTTTGTGCCGTGGCACTGCCATAAAACAGTGGATTCATTATTTTTGTGTTGTAATCTGTTGGTATGGAGATAAGTAATTGATGGTGCTTCTGCTTCATTGACTATGCTAAAGCCTTTGACTGTGTGGATCACAACAAACTATGGCAGGTCCTTAAAGAGATGGGAGTACCAGACCACCTCACATGTCTCTTGAGAAACCTGTATAAGGGTCAAGAAGCAACAGTTAGAACCGGATATGGAACAACTGATTGGTTTAGCATAGGAAAAGGAGTACGACAAGGATGTATATTGTCACCTTGCTTATTTAATATATATGCAGAGTACATCATGCGAAATGCTGGCCTGGATGAATCACAAGCGGGAATTAAGATTGCTGGGGAAAAGATCAACAACCTCAGATATGCAGACGATACCACTCTAATGGCAGAAAGTGAAGAGGACCTAAAGAGCCTCTTGCTCAGGGTAAAAGAGGAGAGCGCAAAAGTGGGCTTGAAGCTCAACATCAAAAAAACTAAGATCATGGCATCCGGTCCCATCACTCCTTGGCAAATAGAAGGGGGTTGTGGAAGTAGTGACAGACTTCACGTTCCTGGGATCCCAAATCACCGCAGACTGTGACTGCAGCCATGAAATTAAAAGACGCCTGCTACTTGGGAGGAAAGCGATGGCGAACCTAAACAGCATGATAAAAAGTAGAGACATCACCCTGCCAACAAAAGTCCGCATGGTCAAAGCAATGGTATTCCCAGTAGTCATGTATGGCTCCGAGAGTTGGACTATAAGGAAGGCCGAGCGCCGAAGAATAGATTCTTTTGAACTATGGTGCTGGAGAAGACTCTTGAGAGTCCCTTGGACTGCAAGAAGATCAAATCAGTCAATCCTAAAAGAAATCAACCCTGACTGTTCCCTGGAAGGCCAGATAATGAAAATGAAGCTCAAATACTTTGGCCACCAAATGAGAAGGGAGCACTCACTGGAGAAGACCCTGATGCTGGGAAAGACTGAAGGTCAAAGAAGACGGGACGGCAAAGGATGAGATGGTTAGACAGTGTCAGAGATGCAACAAACATGAAACTGAGCAAACTTCAGAGGACAGCGGAAGACAGGAGGGCCTGGCGGGATCTAGTCCATGGGGTCGCGAAGAGTCGGACTCGACTGTGCGACTGAACAACAACAAATTGATGGTGAGTCTGGGCTAAACCAACACAAAAATCCTGAGGATCCATGCTTTGGAACCATGGATTTGCACCATGGCAACACCACAAAGAAATGGATCCATGAAAGATCTGTGGCTACAGACATTATATGTAAATTGGTCATGAGTTGAAGGTGACCAAATGCACAAATTCTGAGAATCCATGAGGATCAGTTTGTTTGGAACCACATTTTTGTTCCATGGCGGAGCCACAGAGATGTAGATTCAGAGATTTCTGTGGTGTTAAATGTGGCCATGGCTATGTGATTGGATAATGATCTGGGGTAACTGGAAGTAAAAATCCATAGTATCCACGGGGATCCGTGCTTTGGAACTACATTTTGGTGCTGGGGCGGCACCACAAACCAGCAGACCTGAGTACACAAGGCTCAGGGTGGTGAACAACAGTAAAAACTTTCATATGTGATTTGATGGTGAGTTTGGGGATGTCCCAATGCAAAAATCCTAGGGATCCATGAGGACCCGTGCTTTGGAACAATGTTTTTGCACTACTGCAGGTACCACAAAGTAATGGGTCCATTATTTTTGTAGTGATCTGATGGTGAGTTGAGGGTGATGGAATGCAAACATCCGGGGATCTCTGAGAATCTGTGCTTCAGAACCATATTTTTGTGATATGGCAGTGCCACAAAGTGGTAGATGTGTGATTTTTGTGGTGCAGTCTGTGGCTATGTACAAGATATGTGATTTGATGGTGCGTTTGGGGTGACCCAATCAAAAAATCCTGAGGATACATGGGGATCCGTGCCTCGGAACCATGTTTTTGCACCATTGCAGTACCACAAAGCAGTGGATGACTGATCTTTGTGGTGAAATCTGTGGCTATGGACATGATATGTGATTTGATTATGAGGTTGGGGTGACCTAGGGCCACAGTGGCTGAGAGGTTAAGATGCTGAGCTGCAGACTGGAAGGTCGGTAGCTCGGCAGTTGGGAGACCCTAATGCCGCCTGAGGGAGTCAGCTCCTTCTCTGGCCCCAGCTCCTGCCAGCCTAGCAGTTCGAAAGCAAGAAATTGCAAGTAGATAAACAGGGACCACTTCGGTGGGAAGGTAACAGCGCTCCGTGCGCCTCCACATTTAGTCATGCCCGCCACATGACCCCGGAGAAGTCTTCGGACAGTGTTGGTTCTTTGGCTTGGAAACGCAGATGACCCTAGAGTCAGATTTGACTGGCTTTTGGGCAAGGGAAACCTTTACCTTGGGGTGACCTAAGTGAAAAAATCCCCTGGATCTATGAAGATTTGGTAGTGAATTTGAAGATCCGTTTAAAATCACCTAGATCCGAGTTTTACCCCGTCCTCATTTCCAAGGCATTGCCTCAGTCTTAATTGAATTCATAAGAACATAAGAGATGCCAATGTTGGATCAGGCCAAAGGCCCATCCAGTCCAACACTCCGTGTCACACAGCGGCCAGAAATATCAGGGGCCATCAGGAGGTCCACCAGTGGGGCCAGGACACTAGAAGCCCCCTCCCACTGTTGACCCCCCCCCCAGCACCAAGATGACAGAGCATCCCTTGCCCCAGAGCCCCTACCTTGTGGCTAATAG